TGGTTGATGAGTTAGATGTGCGAAGAATTGACATTTCGGGCATTTTTGAACGAAGCAAGTGGCATCTTTGTACATGTTTGGCCAGTAATATCCTTGCCGTAAGACTTTGTGGGCCAAAGTCCTGGCACCAACATGGCTTCCACAGACACCCTCGTGCACCTCTCGAAGTGCATATTCAGATTCATAAGGGCTTAAACACCGTAGAAGAGGGAGTGAGAAAGACCTCTTATACAGGACCCCATCAACGAGTGTATATCGAGATGCTTTCTTCCTCAATTTCATTGCCTCCTGTTTGTTCTCAGATACGATCCCATCTCGTAAAAAGGAGACAATCGAATCGGTCCAGCTCGGCGTGTCAGGGTCTGTGCTAATCTCCATCACACGAGGCTTCATGAAGCTTGGTTCATCTAGGACCTCTACAAAAACAGATCTGGAGCTTACAGAGCTATCAGAGGCAAACTTAGAAAGTAAATCTGCCTGTTCATTCTCAGCTCGGGGGATTTTACTCAAACAGAATTTTTGGAACTTGCACTTCAGCTCAGCCACCAAGGCTACGTACTTTACCATCACAGGATCAACGACTTCGCAAATAGAGTTGATTTGGTTCACTACCAGTTGGGAGTCACTGTAGACTTGAATTGCACTGATTTTCAACTCTAATGCTAGTTGTAGACCCAGTAGCAGAGCTTCATACTCAGCCATATTATTTGTCGCATCAAAGTTGAATTTCAGGGCATGTTCACTTCGGTATCCCTCTGGACCAATCAAGAGAGCTCCAGCCCCTGAACCCTTGCTGCTAGATGCTCCGTCAACATATAAGATCCATTCGTTGGGTTCTGGAGTAGAGGTGGAGGGACATGGAGTGCATTCGACAATGAAATCTGCTAGTGCTTGAGCTTGGATGGTCGATCTCTGCTGAAACGTGATTTCAAACTCCCCCAGTTCCACTGCCCACTTAATTAATCTTCCAGAGCATTCTGGTTTCTGCAGGATTTGCCTGAGAGGTTGATCTGTGAGAACGATGATTGGGTGTGACTGAAAATATGGTCTCAGCTTCCTGGCCGAAGTGACAACTGCTAATGCTGCTTTCTCCGCTATAGGATATCTCAGCTCTGCTCCATGTAATACACTGCTGATGTAATAGATTGGTTTCTGTTGCTTGACTTCCTCTCTCACCAGGACTGAACTAATGGCCTCATCTGAAATTCCCAGATACAGATAAAGAATCTCTCCATC